AAATCTTGGCGGCCCAAGCGGGAATGGAAAGCCGAGGTCGGTTCGGCCTGGTGGAAGTCAACACAGTACTCACTAGCCGACATTTTGCATACATCATTCATCCACTCGCAAGCCTTCCTGGCTAGGTCTTCATCGTATTCCGCGCGCTTCTTGTTCTCCAGTTCGCGGGTCAATCCAAATCCTTTTGGGCGAGACATTTTAACGCGGAGTATCGTCTTTTCAAAGCGTGCTCAAAGTGGAACGCTTGCTGGTCTGCGAGTAGACCTCTTATGTAGCTGTCCTTTAAAAGACCTTAACACACACCCACTAAATACAAGCACTTATATCACAATACAGTCCCCCAAGAGGCTCTGTGTAGGACAAAGGACTGGGTGGAATAAGGACAAGAGAGCAACTGACTGTCTTCTCTGAGGTTGGATTTCTAAATACTCTATATATTATTTTAACGACGGCAATCGTGCAGCTATACCATGTTTAGGACAGATTCAAACCCTGTTTAGTTGAACCATAACCCAGGACCATAACGTACAAAATTTTAGAGATAAAAACCTTGTAGTATATTTCTACGGTAGAGGTGTTACGTTGAATGTTAGTTGTGTTAACAAACGCCACAACTGAGTGTAAACGACTCGACTTGATTGACTCGGTTCGCTAAGTGAGAATGGTTACTATTTAAGAACGACGCATAAAGGCTGGTTTTCACTCGCACATAAGTGACATGCGCAGACTTACCGAGTCTACCGTTAAGAAGTAACAATTAGCGCCTTTTGTAAGGAAAATTCCTAACAAAATACGCCACTAAACAGCGGCTTACTGCCTGCGTTATGTTACTTATATGAGTATATTGGTCGGGTCCGATTTTTGTACCTGCGCTTTGATTATGTAAACAAAAACAGTATTTTTGGTTGACGATTTCTAGTAGCTTTGCCACGAAAGCAACAAAAAAACCCTCTGGCACCCGAAGGATGCCCGCCTTTCTCCTCTGAGTTGTTTAAGTTGCGTAATATTCTTTAGTTTAAGTTTTTCTTAAGGTTCTTGTTGTTTGAGTTTGGTGTTATTGATCTTTATAATTTTTGTATTGCGCTGTTTATGCTATTTTGGTAGCTGGAGGTTTCGCACCCAAGTGATTTGACACCCGCCGAGTTGGCACCCACATCGACTCAACTAGCGATCAAGTGCTTTAATAAAACTTATCTTTCCCTTACCGAGAAAAAAGGACAACACTGTAGGCATAATGAAACAAAATCACTTAAAACATGTTTATTTCTCGAACTCGAATTAGAAAGTTTATAATGAGTTCAGGGGTGCGAGCTCGGTGGGTGCGAACTCGATTGAGTGTGAAACAGGTAGCCTTCGTTATTTCGGCCAGATAATTTTTATACATATAAATCGTACCTTTTTCGTAGCTTCGGCGACATATCAGGTGAGTTTGTTCGCGCCATGGTTCGTAGTTTGGCGAAACGTAGTCGAGCTAAAATAACCACGGCGAGACCAAATGAGCCTGCTATGCCGCCAAAGCGTACCAAAAAGGTTAGGTATTTACCGTACCCAAATTCGACCAAGTGAGGATTACATTGTAGCCATACGGGTCAGTAACTTGATATCGCAGAATATCAGGACAGTAGACACGGCTTCTGATTGGCTAATTGCAAATTTGGGTACGGTAATGGAACCGTAGTGAAAATTAGAAAGAAAATTATTTCGCTTCTGCTTACTCTGTCGAGGGAACTTGTACACGATCGTACTTTCGCATAATGTGAACTGTGCAAGTCCTTACAGAAGCATAAATTTCTCAAGATCAGTAAATTTGACATTTGGTTGATGGTTTGTAGTATGGTCCTCGGGAGTATGGTCCTTATAAAGAACGCGAGCAAGATCCGAGTGTCAGAGCTATTCTAGAGAAATTTTTGAGATTTTTGTCGAATTGTTGCCCAGAGTCATAAGGATGTAACAGCAGTTAAGCCAGATTATTATACATTGAACTCGCTACCTCTTTTCTGATTGGCCAAAAGCGTACGGTGAATTTTCGAAATCAGCGCCTGTGACCTCATCTAGCTGCAGATTATACAAAAGTCATGTCAAGGACACTCAAGGTCACGGGTAATCATGTCATGTATGACCGCGGTGCACGGTAAGGGTTATTAGCCGAAGCCGAAGGCTGAGGCTGACAAAATCCTTTGAAATCAGACTTTTCAACCGTAGATTGAATACCAAAAAGCGAGGAAATTCGTTAAGTGCTTTCCACAGAAATTCTCTTAAATACAGCAACGATAAAGGAGGTAAACTCAACCGAAATTGACTCATTTTTTACTTAAAATTTTACGGCGAGAGAAACACAGGATTACGCGCCATTACAGCACCAAGCTACAAACAACCAAACAAACTCTCACAACTTCTAAACACTCAATTTAATTTACTTACAGTGACTTTCCTTGCCATTTAAAAGTGAATAGCGATAAACTTGCGTTGACTAATCGTCAATGGCAGTGTAAACAAGGCAAAAGATTGACAATTGCTGCTAACTTTTCAGATTTTTAGGAGCGAATTTAGGAGCAGTCCGTACTCGGTCCCGTACTCGGGATCCGGATGAGGAAATCAGGACCGCTGGAGCGCCTGCGATTAACCAATCAGACTCAACGATTTAGGATTCCGGACCGCTGGGAAGCTGGAGAAAAAATATATATTAGTTTTAGGCGCATATGTAATCGTTCTGCCATCAGTGATACTTCTTATAACGACAACGTTAGATTTCTAGCTCGATTTAACAAATTGACGTCAGTTTTTTATGCGTCTGTCCTCTTATTGATGATAAAAATGAGCCAATCAGCGCTCGTGAAATTGGACAGTTTTTGTAAAAATTTCATTGACTTACTTCTATGTAGAGTTTTTCGCCAACTTCGCGGAGAAAAATGAACAAATCCAAAAGAGACTCCAAAGAAGCTTTCGATCAGGTCGACTTTAATTTGGACACGAATTCGTCAAGTCTAAGATTTTTCAGTGATTTGTGCAAGTAGTTGACAGCGTCACCTAATGTGAAAACATAAAGGCAAAGTTATCTACAGTGTATTGGGTCTTTCGGTTGTATTACTTTTAACTGAGTAATCTGAGAGAAACGTCTGTTAAGAGTTTCTCTCAAATTACTTAAAATAAATTTTAAAAAGTATTTCTCTCAGATCTACAACGAACTGTGCAAATAATTTTTCAAATTTTAACAAACATCTAAAAACCCAAACTACGCAGAAGCATGTCCTGAGACCGCCATACTAATGTTTTTGTTTTCCAAGTCAGACCGTTTAGCTCATGGCCGTTCTACAACTTAGCATGAACATCCCTTCCTCAATGGAGGAGAGGTATAACATAATCAGCCGTGGGGTTTTTGTCATCACCGTCGTTGCATTTTTAAACCAAGAATAGACAGACCTATTGTTAAACTTCTTGTCTTATGAGAATTTTGAAGAGCCTGAAAAGTTAATTCCAAGAGATGTCAGAAAGCAAAAACACCATATTCTTCTAACATGAATTGCTCGATTTACTTATACTTGGAGTGTTTTGGTTAATTCATATTACTTGATTTAGTTATTTTGCTTCCACTTAGGAAACTTGGGTATATAGCCGACTCAGATAATACAGACATATATATGGAGAAATCAAGGTTTGGTGACAATCTTTCGTACGGAACAAAGCTACGGTACGATGATTTTTAAAGAAAATAAAAATGAGAGCTGAAAGGTCAACGCTGCTCGACATATCAGCGGTCGCAAAAGCAAAATGACAGCAACACCTGTCAACAAAAGCCAACAAAAACACGAGAGAAGCCAGGAAAACTCAATAACAATGGTTTGTTGGCAGTTTGCCTGTATTTGAACATATGTAGTGCGTGTATCTGCCTTATTTGAGCAGCTTATCGTGCGGTGTGTATTTTGTGATAACAGTTGTCAAGCACATCTGAAGTATTGAAATAACTACAGTCGAACCTCCCGTTGCGACCACCTCACCTCAGCAACAAGTTTTCCAAAATACCAAAAGATTCTAAGTCAAATCACTATATTTGGAACCTCTTGTAAGCGATCACCTCTCGTAAGCGACCGCGACCACTTTTAGAGCTAAAAGTTTGAAATTTTCGAAGCGACCACTTGACAGATAATGGAGCGGAAATTGGATAATAAGGCGCTGTAGTTTATCAGAAACGAACCATGATACTCTGAATAAATACCTATTATATGGGTTAGATGGGCACTGACGCACGGGGTAAGTCTTTGCAGTAATGGTCTAAGCTTCCGTAAGCGACCACCCCCCGTAAGCCCTTACGGGAGGTTGGACTGTAATTCAACAACAATTGGCAAGCAGTTGACTGTACAAGTAAAATGTCAAACACGGAAGATCGTGCTTCACCACATTTCCAAATACAGAGAAGTGAGTTGAAAATACAACGCGCAGCGGAGTATTTTTGACGAGCTTCGAAGTGTTTGATGATGTGTCAAACTCTGTCTTGAATGTTTCATATATCCTCTCAATCGAAACTAAGACAAAGGAGAAAATGGAGTAATGAAATCGTAAAAAATCCAGGCTAGTTAAGATCAGAAATCCAAATTAAACACTGTCACCGTAATTGATTTCCATTGTTTAAGCTTGATGAATTATCAATACGTGTGAGAAGGCTGTAGTTAGAGGAAGAGCCCGGAGGCCCTGGGTACTCCTATAATTTTGTTGACTGACTCACACAGTCAGTTGAGAAAGATCTGTACCCTTTACGTAGCTTCTGCTGAAAGAGTGATTTTAAGATAATCCATAAAACTTCACTCTGGTTACTTTCTCTTTAATCCGGATTAACGAAATTGACTCATAAAAGGATTATCTTGCCATTTGCAAATGGTTCGATTTTTAAGTACAACGTGGCAAGGTTCATTTAATCAATATTAATTGTTGTTGCATCATATTTCTATGTGGCTATCTGCTATTCGTCCTTGTTTGTGCTACAAACCATATCAAAAACGTTTTTCTAAAATAGCATATCGAACAATCTGGTCATACAAATAGATAACTTTTATCCATTGAAAACTAATACATTCCTTGCACAACACTCATTTAGAGAAAGTAAGAATGTCTTTTGCTCCACCTTTGTGTCCACTGGTTTGGTCGCCAGCTTGGCCCTCCCTCTCCCTGCCCCCTCAAAGGAAACAAATGCAGTAGAATACACTGCAATAATTCCAATTGCATTGCGCAAGTTTTAATTCCAAAACGCCGTGTTTCTATGGTTAAACAATAGCACAGAAAGTGGCACATACTTGACAGAAGTGTCACGTATTGCGCGGTACTTCATAGACGTGTGACGTGCACCTGACATGCTTGAACAACTGAACCTACTTGTTGACAGACGGACATCACCCACCTCTCACGCCTTGGACAACAAACAAACACAATGGGTCAAGAGGTAACAAACTAAACACACAGGGTTTGGTATTAAATATCACTGTTAAACTGCTTGATCTTAGTTTGCTGCGAATGCAAAGGCAACCAAACCATGAAATCAATACTCTTTCTTCTGTTCTTTGGGTGCGTGCTGCATTTCCAGCCGACGGCATCAGAGTACGTCCGTGGATGTTACTATACCAACTGGTCCCAGTATCGACCCAAAGGTGGAACCTTCTGGCCTGAAGATATCGATCCTTTTCTCTGTACTCATGTGCTATTTTCCTTTGCGCAAGTGAGCCGAACCACTCACACGCTGGAGATCTACGAAGAAAACGACCACGACTTGTACTCAAGAATCAACGCACTAAAGAAAGCCAACCCAAAGCTGAAGACACAAATTGCTGTTGGTGGATGGACTCATGAAGAAAAAGACAGCCCTTTTTCCAAGATGGTGGCAACGAAAGAGAAACGAGCGATCTTCATCAAGTCATCTATTGACACCCTGAGGAAGTTTGGATTCGATGGTTTAGATCTAGACTGGGAGTATCCAGGCATGCGTGGTGGCTCTCCCAAGAGTGACAAAGGACGATTCACTCTACTGTGCAGAGAACTGAGGGCTGCATTCGAGGCTGAAGTTAAGGCGTCTGGAAAGGAACGCTTGTTGTTAACAGCCGCAGTAGCAGCAGGACTCTGGACCATCAAAGGAGCATACGATATTGCTGACATTGCCGAGCCTCTTGACTGGATCAACTTAATGACTTATGATCTTCACGGTACGTGGGAGTACAAGACCGGACATCACACTGCTATGGGACCGGACGGTGACAAGCTAACCCTTCCTTTCGCTGTCTGGTACTGGATGAACAACAGAGACACCTGGGAGAAGCCAGGCATCAGGAAAGGAATGCCAGCCAACAAGATCGTCCTCGGTCTGGCCACGTACGGACGGGCGTTTGGTCTAGCGAGCCCGTCCACGAACGGTCTAGACGCGGCACGTGATTACCAGTACACCCCCAAAGGGCAGTTCACAGGTGCCGAAGGCTTCCTAGCTTATTATGAGATCTGCAAACGGGGACTGACGGTTGTGGAAAAGAATAAAGCCATGGCTCCATACGGTTACAAGGATAAGGACTGGGTAGGATTCGACAACCCGAAGAGTTTGATTTACAAGATCGATAATGTGGTGAAGAAGAATTCCCTCCGTGGTGTTATGTTCTGGGCCATTGACCTGGACGACTTCTCAGGACAGCATTGTGGACAAGGCAAGTACCCACTGATGAATGCTGTTAAGGAATACCTCACATCTGGTGTGCAGCCTCCTCCGGTTACCACCCCACCACGGCCACCTCCTGTCACCACACAAGCCCCACCTCCACCCCCGGATACTACACAAGCACCACCGCCTCCCCCGGCTACCACTACTCAAGCTCCACCAGTTTCTCCAACCACAGGGGGAGGGGGCCCTGGAGGTAAATGCGTTGCTACTGGTGTGTGGGCCGGTCATGCTGGAATGGATGCCTGGTGTGCGTCAAATTGCGCCATTGGAAACTGCCCGTCTTCCCATTGCAAGTGTAATTAAAGAGGCAATTGGCTTAAGTCACCTGGTGACACTGAAAGCATTACAAGCACACCTAGGTAGAGACACAACTGCTCAGGCTTAAAACTCATAGTAAATGTGTTTTAATCGATTAAATGACCATTAAATGTGATCATCATTAAGAGGAATGTTGATATCTTTCCAAAGTTGGTTTTGTGTCATTACTCGAAGGGTGATCGTATCCGAACAAGTAATGAAAATCAATAATATCTGCACGCGAAGACTTAACCTTTACTCGTTACTAACTCATCGTGAAAATGTGACAACTTTAATCCAGTATAAACCGTGCCGTGAAAATAGGCAGAACTCGTGTACATGCGTCTGACCTCAGTTTGCCTCAATCAAATCTCAGCTCACGAGATAAGGAAGGGTAACTATCAACGTTGATGATTTTCCCTTTTCGGTAATTCGTGTTGGTATCAGTTTCTTGTTGTCTTGAAGAGGTCGCCTTTCATTGCAAAAAAGAAACACGGAGTTGTATGGTGACTAAAATCTATTGACCAATCAGAATACCGGGAAACGTTGCACTATTTTCAGTCCTTCAGTGTCGTGCAAGAAAAATGCACGTACCGATGAACAACAAAAATTCGATCGCTTGACGCTGCAATAACGGCTACTGCTTAAACCTCTGTCGGAACATTCAACCCTTAGCTGACTGCGGCAATATTCGCGTCATGTACAACAACATGAAGAAGGGGGCATATAGGGCATTGTATGGGAGGTACCCATTGAGAACAGGACACTATTAAAATGACCACAAAAGGCTGATGATCCTCTACACTCATCCCAAAATTCAACAAGGTCCTCCTCCTGTTTCGTTGCTATCAAAGCTTTAAAGAAATAAACTCTACATGGAGAAGAGT